ACTTTCTCAAATTTATTAGAAGTATGAAATTTCAATTTGAATTTCTTCTCTTGCACTTTTAATTTGGGAGTATATCAAATAATACCAGTCAAATCCTACCTTAAATTTGAATCAGTACATTACAAAAGTAGTGATTGTAAAATGTTTTGTATGAACAGTAATAATCGTACCATACTCGAAAACCAGTTTGTTGAAAATCTGAATTGTGCTTTATTTCTATATATGAGTGACAAGTTTTATCACATTGAAAATTCGTTGATTGAATTTTAATTCGTATTCTTGCATCATCTGCCTGAAAGCAATTTAGAATCATTTATTTGCTTTGTTATTCTGATTTAAATTAATTTTAAAATAATTTTGATACAAATTAATGAACATACTCTGATTCTCCAATAGCAATTTTGTGAGCCTTTGTGAGCAAGTTGTTGCCATGCAATTGTTGCATACAATTCTCCACCACAAGCACCTTAATTATATTTTATTTAATAAATATTAGTCAGGTATAGTTATCAAAATTATCAGTACTTTACATTTTCATTCTCAATAAACAAGCGGAAAACATTAGCTAACTTCAGATACATGTTGCAACATAAATTTATTATCTAATTTTATCACTCTGATTGATTGCTTTTTGTTATTTTTCATGATCCCTTGTGACCTAATAAGAATTGACAAAAATATTAAATATTTTAATACTTGGTTGTACATCACTGCAGACAAGGCCACCTAATCCCGTGGGACATTTGCAAATTTGACAATTGTTTGGGTCAGGATATCCGCCATTTTCGCAAGCTAATGAGCTAGCAGGACAACGATCTGCAAATGCATTACAGTAGTCTTTTGAAAATCAAGTATATTTTTAATTAAATAATTACTAAAATCAGCAGTTTCTTTTTTTTTCTATACTTTGCTATTGAAGATAAAGTACCAAGTGACAAAATATTGCTGAGGAACATAACTGAGTATAACAAAATTTTATTGCAGTTGTCTTCAATAATTACTTCAAAAGCTAGTATTAACTCACCATTGCAGTACAGTCTATTAACCTGCTTGATATCAATGAAAGATGGACCGTACCTCTGACCAATTGTATGATCGTATCGTTTATCAATTGTTTCAATGGTTGCGTGATTCCAGTCAATAGAAAATGCCTAGCTCATAATATTTTCAGAATTAAAAATCAAAATTTACTTCAAGAATCATAATTTAGAAAAATTTTTTCCTGGAAAATATTCTGAAATGGTTATTTTTCAGTTATTCATTGACAAAGAATAAATATAAAAGGCTATTTTAAATGATCGCAAATACAAATAAGACGTACCGTTGGCCCGTAATGCATCACTGAGCCAAGGTCAAATGGTAAACCCATACTCTCTGACTCTAAATCAGAACGTTTTATAAAGTTGCCTTCAGTACCACGAGCAATATATTCTGGTCGGAGTTTAATGTACTGATCTCGATCAGGTCGAGATTGTTCATGCCAAAAGCCCAAAGAATGACCGATTTCATGTGCTATTATTCCAGACTTAAAAATTCATTCCACATTATTAAATTAATTAAAATTTGTATCAGTTTGACATTATAAATTTGACATCTTTGAATTCAAATATAATGCAAATTTTTCCCTAGCAAAAATCGCTTTGAATAGTTTTTCTAAACAGTTTTTCTTACTTCGAACTGGCATACTTTTTCAGAATAATCAAACTTCAGATTCATCAATAGACTATAGCAAACAAAAATTTCCACAACAATTAGCTGATTACCCATAACTTTGTTTTTTTTTTTTCATAAAAACAAAAATCTATGTGTAACTTGCATCTTCACAGCCGTAGCCAATTGATAATTCCTGACGTCCGCCAGTTCTGCCAACGCTCGAATAACAACTTAATCAAATATCTGATGAATATGTGTTGTACTTAATATCTTATTGTTTTTGGTCTTCAAATTTAATCGACAATTTAAGGTACTTAGCAGATTATACGGAAACATCCTAATTCAAGAGGCAAAATTTGATAGAATAATGTTAAATGTAAAAAATTACTAGAATTGAAAAAGATATTAGAGTTCCGTATTTCAGGTTGAGAAAAGTATTTAAAAATTATTGAGAGTCTTGATTATTATTAAAACTGAACGGATCAGAATCAAATTACTGATAGTTTTGATAAGTATCGGTAAAAATTTTCTTAAAACTGATCATTTATTTTTATTTATATGTTTATTTATCTACTTGTATGACCTATAATCTGCACATACCCGCTTCCTCTAAAGAAGATCAGTCGATCAAATCCTACTCCATTCTCTTCCCATCGAACGCATGTTTCACGTTCCCAAAAAGCTAAAGACGACCGTATTGCTTTACGCCAATTTTCTAAAAAATTTACATGGAAATGCATTAATTTATTTTCTGTGATTAATCAATAATCGATGTTTACTTTCTTGTTACAAAAAAAAGACTAACAAACCATCAGAATTAGTAAATTCATATGGTATTTTTCGATTCTTTGGCCATCGATAAACTGCCCCCGTGATTACTTTACGCTTAAATCTATGGTGGAAATTATGGTGCTCCTTTTCCGCCATTACAATCCTTAATTTGAAAAAGATTATAAAACTTGACAAGATGAAAGTTATTGCAAAACTTTATGTTTCTAAAGTCAAACAAATACACGTAAATTTAATTATGTAGTTAAGCCATTTAGTTTTGTCGCTAGAAATTATCAGCAATTAAAAGAAAATTTACAAAATGATGAAAAGACCCTTCTCAAATACATCTAATAAATTCATTTCTGTATGGAACAACGTAAATCCCACTCAATTACCCTTTCAACTGTTCAACGGTCAAAACAATATCACTTTCAAATAAGTCTTTTGCGATTGCTCGATTGCGTCCCATTTCAGTTCCGTCGTTCACAAAATACAAGTGCTGTTTTTGTTGCTAAAGATTAACATAACTATATAATATTATCTATTTCAGTTTTAATACTATCATAAACATTCTTCGTTTTAGTCTTAATAACAGTCATTACAATTTTTAAGTGTGTAATTAAAGTAAATTGTAATTACAGTAATAATACAGATAAAATAAATCTGATTTAGCAATTTATCTTGAAATGATTTTCCATGTAAATCATTCTTTTCAACAAACACAAACTCTAATATCTTTAGGAGCTTTTGACACAGCAGTAAAAAAAGCACTGAGTAATTTTTGTACTGATCCATAATCTTGATTTTGCTTTTGGTGAGCATCTGAATACTGCGCAATTTCACTCAATAACTGAAAGTCACATTGAAGTCAGTTAATGCTTAAAAGCATTGCAACAGTACAAATGCTTGTGACTCTTTCATATTTATCTTTCTTAATTTTGATTATTAAAGTAAAAAAACAAATAAATAAATAAAAAATAATTTACTCCAATAACTTCTTGACCGAAACTAAATGATTGTGCTACCACTTCATTTGATATGAGTGGTGCAGATTGTAATCTCGTTGTTGGCCTTTAAAAATGTCATTTAATGTTTTTCACTTATTCATATAATATTATTATACTGTATAAATTCTTTATTCTAAAAAAAAAATTTCACCATTTTATTAAACTTTCTGAAATCCATATTCAACATCATGTCACTAACTAGAGAGTAATTTGTCTACTAACTAAGTTGACCGATTAATACAACTTATTAACTGTTGATCTTTTTAAAAGGTTAAATCACAACTTTCTAATATCTGTAATTTAGAATTCATGCATATTTGATGATAGTAAAATTATGTTCCACATGATTTTAGTAAAAACAAAAATTATACGATTGATGCGCATAGGGTTGCGACTTAAAAATATTTCGTTGAGAGTTTTGCGAAAAATAAAAAGGATTTTGTGATTGAGGCGAATAATTTTGCTGATTCTGATATGGCTGATAATGTGGACGTCTTACTGAAATGTGAATATTGTTTTCTGCTTCAAATGAGCACTTTCTTTTGATTATTATGGATAAAAGAGAAAAAAGTTTATAAAAATCACTTGTGAAGAATGAATTTTTAAAAATATTAATTTAAAAATATTCGATTATATGCAAAATGTTTTGTTGTACAAGTATAAATCAAAATTTGATTATTCTGTTATTAATTTTGGATTAGATATATTTTTTGACAGAAAACTATAAAAATCAAAAGAATAGCATGAAAATTGAATGAACTGACTGCGAAGAGTAATACAATTTTTCGAATGATATGCCATTTACTGTGAATTTCGCTCAGTAGTTTATTTTATAGAAGTTGCGCAGCATCTAAGAACTTGCTACCTGATCTCGAATATCCTGAATCTCGAGAAGATTGTGCGAACTCATCAACAATCAAATCATAGTCTTCAACGTCACCATATGTATGTTGTTTTGCTACTGGTTGTGTCCAAAATTTTAAAGGCCACACTGTTGTAGTAGTTGATTGTTTCAGTTTTGGTTTTTTAGGTCGCACTGGTATAATCTGCTATCAATCATTAAAAACAATTATTACTGATAAAAATTACAATTTAATTAAAAGCATGAACCGAAAGATCTCTGTAAATTATGCATTTAAAAATTTTCACAAAATTTAAATTCAAAAAGAATCCTGAAATATTCTTCAAGACAGATAAAATGTTAATTTTACTGTTCACAAGAATATTTTTTCAATTATCGCAATTAAAATGTTACTTGTTCTTATGAAGTTTTTGGCGAACAAATTCAAGACTTACTGATTGTTTTGGCTCAACAGCTTTATTTTGAGCTTTGAGTAACTCACTGCCAATATAAGCACCAAGTCTGACAAAATTCTGAAAAAATACATGAATTCTCGTCATTTTTTAGTTTTGGTCTGTAATTTGATTCTGAAAGTTCACTTCTGCATCAAAGGCATTAATAGAGTAATGCATATTCAAAAATTAATAGTATTTTAAATTAAAAATGCTTAAAAAATATAAATTAAATTAAAAATTAAACAATGTAACAAGAAGATAAACTTTTTAGTTTTGGTTTAGAAAAAAATTAAGTGAGGTTAAAATTAATTCAGAAAGTTTTGTTTCTGAAAAGTTTAAATTTTAAATTTTGAAAAGCTTTTCATAAAAATCAAACAATTGTACAACCTGTATTAGTTTACCACTATTTTCTATTGTATTATCATCGATACCCTTGCCAAGGAGTGGTTTAAATAATGATGATAATAAATCTTGACACTGCAAATAACCGCAAAATAGTCAGAAAGCTTATATAACATTCATAAACAATAAATTGTTCTAAATAAGATTAGCAAACAAAAAGTAGTAAAAATGGTAGAATTGTTGATTATCAAAAAACTATTTATTCTATTTAATGTGTTTATCTTGACCTTTGTACAATTAATATTTACTGTCACTGCATAATCTTCCAAATTAAATTATTTGCATTAATGTAGTCTAAATTATTAAAAACTGTGTATTGCAAAGCTGATTTGATGGCTTTTATGTAATAAGATATGATTAGTAATTGATGATGAACAGAAGCTTGTATTTCCACCTTCTATCTGCTCTCATGACAGAAACTTGTTTTGTGTTTGTCATTACAGAAAGCAGTTTCTGGCAAACTCGCTCATTCAAAAATTTATTTCTGTCTTTCAGGTTCTTGTTGAATCATTCTGTGCATTAACATGTGATTATCAAAAGTGTAAGACATCCTTAAAGTGAAAAAAAGTTCGATTTTTCATACGTAAAACTCGTATTTAACTAAAACCGCGCTAAATTGAATTAAATGTTTAAATAAAGTGAATGAACAAAAACGAATTAAATTCTAAAAGCAACTTTCAGCAGATTTTCTAATTTTTGTGACAAATTTGATGCAAATAACATAAAAAACTCTCCACAGTGTATTTTGAATGATTGCTTTGGAACAAAATGTTAGATTTGCTAATAATACAGTACTGCTGAAGAAGACAATTGAAAGTATTCATTACAGATATATTGAAATAACAGCTTATTATTATATCAATTCAAAAATACGTTATTTAGTGACTTTTATGAGATATGATATATGATTAGTAAAATCTTAGTAATGAGATATGATTAGTAAAATCTTTTTTGATTATGATTAATGTTAGAAATATTTTTGATGTCCTGATAATCTGATAAATAATAAAGTAAACTCACGTTTATTCCTTGATAAAACAGAATTACGGTTATCAGATTTGTGATAATATTTCTCATGAAGCATATGTTGTGATTAGCGTCAGTGATTCAAACGCAACCTTGATTTACTAATGACGGATAATTTGTTGATTGTATCTTTTATATTCTATGGAATCAAAACAAGTAATGTTGAATGCAGGCAGATTCATATCAAGATGCGAAATATTTAAAAAAATGAAAAATTTGATTAAAAATATGAAAAATAATTATCACAGACAGAATTTTCAAATATTCTTTATGAAAACTACGAAGTAAACGTTAGTTTTTCAGGTGCTATTTTCAAAAAGTGAAAAATAATTTCAATTTTGCTTTTAAATACAACTTTACAGTGTAACATACTATCATGCAGTGCTAATTACAAAATATATGCAAAGTAAATTTTCAACTTTTTAATTTTTATAGAATATATAATTTCGCAACTTTAAGTGATTTGTATCACTATAAAGTCTACAAATCCATAAAAATCTCTAAAGTTAATACTTAATTGGTGGAAAAATTAATTAGTAAAGACAAAAAACGAGTAATAGTTTGCAGTGCTAAATAATTTTCTTCCTTCAACACATTACAAACAAATGCTTGCTAAATCAAAAAGTTATATTATTTAACATTGCTACTATTAAAGCACTCATCTCATTATTGCAAGTATGTTCACTTGGCAAATTTTCATAAAAATGACCAAATTGATGGAATTTTTGCCATTCTAACTCGATGCAAACTAATTCAAACTATAAATTTTTGATGATAAGTAATGAAACTAAAAAGTAGCAAACTGAAGGTAAAACGAAACTACGAGGAAAGCAATTTGCGCAAGATATAATCTTTTCTTCAGGCAATCACAAAATGAAGCAAATCAGCAAAGATTACGGAAATCCAGTTTTTCTGCCTTCTCGTCACGGTCACTTTCATGTCTTCCCAAAGTCATTCATTCATAAATTAGCTTCGAAAGGAAGAAAGAGAAAATTATCATAAACTCATCCATTCAAGACTTTTCTAACGCTGCACAATTTTATTATATGAGAATGTTTGATGAGATATAACATTTGTATGAATTATCTGAGTACTGCAAATATCCTCTCAATTTTGTTGATGTAAACAAATTTAGGCATTCATCACATTATTGCAGCTATTTGGTAAATCTTGTTAATATAAATAAATTAGGATATTAATCATAATTTTGCATATATAAACAATAAGTACTTACTGCATGATATCAACAATTTTATAAATCATTCACTGATTTTGCCATTGTTTTTATTAATTTCGACAAAAAAGCTTCAGTATATTAAAATAAATTCATTATTATTACTTCAAAATGTATAAATAATTTACCATGATAAAATTAACCAACAAAATTTTTAGTATAAAAATGAACTACGTCATAATATATCAAAGATAATATTTCATTGCCAATTTAAAAATTCATTAAAATTACTTGAAAATGTGTAGCTAATTATTATGATAAAATTAGTCAATAAAAGATAATTTTTCAGCTATAAAATTTTTGGTATAAAAATGAGCTGTATTTTAAGAAAATTATTGTTTTTTAGTCATGACAACGATTAATGTAGGCGGTTTGCGAGAGACTTTGCCTGCAAAATTTGAAAGAGTGATTTTTTTTTCAGCTTGATCAAACTGATTTGATAAAATCATATCATATTCAAATTTATCACGCAATCAATCAATCGCTTCTAACAGTACTTTTAGATCAAATTTATTGGTTTGAAGGAGACTTCTTGAAAGTCTTGTTGAACTTCAAGTGTTGAAACAAACTGTAAGCATTGAGAATGCAACAAAAAGCACACATTTTAATTTTCAAAAGTATTACTGACAAAGTTTGCAATTTAGTATTCAGAGGCATTTAAAAAAGCAGAAAATGCAATGAAATTGTTGCTAGATGTATGCACAAGTCCTGACTTTGAGGCTAAAGAGGGATGGAGTAAATCGTATGAGAAACATGGTGAACAAGTTTATTACAAGCAGTTCAATGTAGGAAAAATATTCTCCTTGATGGTAATTCATTTTTTACATATTAATGCTTTCGAAATTATCACTAATTATCACTATCACTATTATTAGAAAATACAATATCTAAATCTGTTCAAAATTAATTATTGATTGCCGGATTCATTTTTTTGCTATTATAATCTTGCTGATACTGTGAATATTAGTCTTCTTATATTATGATCATTACTTTTACGGCTAACTATAAAAACAAAGCAAATAAGATCTCTTTTTTAAGGTAATCTTTAATGAAACGATTCAGAGCTTATTTAGTGATCACTGGGACCGTGTCTCTACAACAATTAAATGGAACCCTAATATTGCTTACATGCATAAAATTATGAAGCTAACTTCACATTGTGATATTCTTAGAGTAATTTACCTTAAATTTTTTAGAGCATTAGAGTAAGGTATGAAGATAGAAGATATATTTTTACAGTGCTTTGAATAACATGGTTTTCAAATAGCAAAAGTTTTTTTGTGTGCAACAACAAATATTATGTTAATTAATATTTAGTGTGCAACAACAAATATTATGTTTGTCAAAGGTCGTGAATTTTTGACGTGTCGACTCTATCGTAAAATTGGAACCGTAATTTATGTTGCTGCAAGAAGCTTTGAAATCGATGAAATGCCGGAAACAGAAGACAAAGTGAGGTAAAATTACTCTGCTTTTGCAAACTGAAAAAAATTGATGTCGAGCAAATCATATGAACGCAGAAAATTTGAAACATAAGCAAAATGTAAGAAATATTTCAGAGCTGATTTGATACTCGGAGGAGGACGATTTTCTCCGCTTCCACAAGACCCACAAAAGACGCGTGTTGACTACACAATTTGCGTGAATCCAAAGATTAGATTACCTCAACGAATTATTGATACTTGCATCGCCTATTCCATACACCGTGATTCCGTTTTTGCTCGCAAAAGAATGCATGAAGTAGCAGAAAGTCAATATCAAGAAGATACTCAGGCTTCTGAAAAATTAGATGACCTAAAATTATAGTAAGTGTACTGTAAGGTGGGAATTTAGTTCATATAAAAGATATTTATGCACCAAAATGTTGATGTACACATTCAGATACTTGAAAGGTAATATTGTAAAAAGGAATCTATAGATCAAATCAATTAGGATATTATTTTTTTTTAAAGAATTAATGTCATTTTGAAGAATAATTCTTTTACTTGCACCAGAAATCCATGTTATTCAATAATGTAATACACGTGTTTCTTGAGTATTTGTGTAATATTTAAAAGATAAGCAATCACTTTGAAGGAAGAAATAGCACTGATTCAGTAGTTGTCGATCAATCAATAATTTAAAATGTGAATAGTGTGCATACTAATGCGATAAAACTGTCACGGGGCAGTCATTTTCCATTTCATTTGAAAATAATCCACATTTGAAATTTTTTTTTTGAATCTATGAAGAACAATTACTATTGATGCTTATGTATTCAATACTTGTACATGATTCTTCAGTTATTTCCTTCTACTGCTACCATAAAATTATTCGAGCGTTCAACAGGACAAAAATTATTCAAGAAAATTGTTCTGAAGTCGTCAGTGATTACATAAATTAATATTGCGTTATCTGACAATCACGCACATATGAGTCATTCACATCAGCAGACTTGCAAGAAGCAGTTGTTATCAGTTTGTTATTTTTGTATCCATTATTGCAACATGGATGTTTACTTGAATTGTGAGTAATTCTTGAAAAAAAATTGCCAGATTCATAGCATATCAGTGAGCTTCAAGTTGGAACTGCCAAAGATTGCTAGAAAGATATTTACTCTCTAACAACTTTCTCCTAACACTCTGCATTTATTCTTGATAGATCAAATACTTACTTTCACTGCTAAATGGTATGAAGAATACTGCACAAAATGTTTCATTCGTTGTAATTTGAAAAGTATACTGTAAACTCTTTTTCATTATTTTTGAAAATTTCTGAATCCATTTATTTATCTGAGCAGTTCAGTGTATCGCTGTCATCACGGCTATCGTAAAAAGAATCAAAACGAAAATGACAAGAAAAAGAAATATTAATGTATGCTTTTTGATGAATCGCCTCAATGTCTAGAAGACTCAGAGCTGAAAAATGATAAATTTCTCTTTTCTGTTTTTTCTTAATTTCTGAAAGATTAATTTCAAAGTAGAATAAATAAAACACTTTGAATATTTTCCAAAGAATTTGTTTTACAGATAAGCTATTTTTGCAATGACACAGAGAATAAGGCCACATTGTATAGCAACAGCTAAATTAAACTTTGAGAAAATTGAGTCTTTCGTTTGATTATTTTTTTTTATGACGATATCAGTACTATTATAATTCTCGTACCTCTTCTCAAACAAATCGCATTAGTCTGGAAATCAGACTGGGAACGACTGACTGGGATTGATTACCCAAAATCAGCCTGATCAAGCTTAACTTTTCGACAAATTACTGAATTATCATATTTGAAATCGTGATCATTCTTTTTTCCTTTCAGTTATTTCATTGGAATTTTATATTATGATTGATCTGATCAATTTGTCATACAGTTGAAATCCGTACTTTTTTCCTACTGGCTTTAGCGAGCTTTTTACTGCTTGTTCAAATTTTTCTTTGAATCAGATAACAAACCACCTTTTATTATGACCTACTCATAATTTCAACTAAATTCAAAGAGATCATAGGTTTTGTTTCTACTTATCACAGTATCATAGAGAAAGTTGACATACTGTTTCGTTCTTAGCGAGAACCGTTCAATCACCACAATGATCTTAATATAAGTACTTGGGCTTCATTTAAATACCTTCAAAATACGAAATCGAGAAAATCATCAGGCAAGTTAAGCCACCAATAATAGAAACCAGAACAAAGATACGCAAAAGCATATGTTCTGAAAGGTATATTTAATTACTCTTATTTAATTAATTAATTGTAATTTCCTTAGAATAAACAATATGACTTATAATATCAGATAAATTATGGACAAAAACTTTTTTCTGAAAATGAGATCTTTTAATAATAATTTTAATTTTTCAGAAAATGTCTTGCTTTGAATGATTAGAAGCAAAAGTGACACGGTAGAAGAGCTTTTTCACATTTTTAAACTGACGTTCAACGTGAATTTGTTTTAAAGTCAGTAAGTTTCGTTAAAATTATAGTAATTCTCATTGAATGTTTTTGTTCAAAATAAGACTTCAAGAAAATCATCGGACGTTGGCAAATGTTGAAAAACTGACTGCTTTTGATCATTTTTTTCACCAAAATTCGTTGTGCCATCTGAATTTCTTCATTTTTTGATTCTTGCTGATATTTCCGAGTACTTCGAACTAAATTTTACGTGAGCTTACTTCTGTTAATATTAATTTCTTCAATAAAAGCAACTAAAAAAATCAATATACATGTCATATCTTGCAAATTTTAGATGATTTCCTGATCAAAATGTCATACAACATTTTATATGATTTGAAATATTTGTTTAATGGTTTATTTAAGTAAATTTACGATAGCTTTCAAATTTTTAATGTTTTCTTTCAAGAAGTACCAATACTTAAAAATCTATTATTTAAGATCAAATTTTGTAGATAGTAAAATTGCTTAGTTTGATCAGTAATTCATAAATTATTGTGAAACTCATTGAACTTCGTCATGCATTATTCGCATTATTATACCTTCAAGTACTTTGTTAAAGTAATATTAAAAATTATTTTTTTCACTACTCAAAAATGAACTGATTTCCAAACCTATTTTTTAAAATTTTATTTGAATTCAAATTCAAATTTCAAGTAATGAAAAACTGAATTTGCACAGTTATAACAAATCAATTTTGGGTGCAGTGAATTATTTTAATCAATAATTCATTGAACTTTGCATAAATTATCAACTGCAGATCAAAATTTATTAATTGATACGTTGCATAGCGACTAATGTTTCATTCCATGCAGCTCTGTTAAAACGTAATGAGTTTGCCGATGTGAGGTTAGTAGATGCTTCTAAATTTGCATTTAAATCAAAATAAATGAAGAATATCCGAATGCATTTTCACATTTGTAATGCCTCTGGTACTAAAACCGTAAGAAAATTAGAAACAAATGCTACAAAATTATTGTCAAAAGATGTGAGTATAGTGATTAATAATTCCATTTATTATTTCTTATTACTATTTTTTTATGTATTATTTTATAACAGTCAGTCCATCTGAATGAGTACTATTTCTTTCACTCCTTAACTTATTGACAAAGTTTCTTTTTTAGTTATTTTTGTGGTAAAAAATTTATTAATAAAGTTTTTTAAGCCTTTTTTCGCAGTAAAAATCAACTACATATTACTGCTTTATCAAAACATTTTACAACTTTCAGATACATCCACAAGTTGTATAAGTAATTTGCTTTTTTAGTTGGTAGCAAATCTTACCGAAAATCACAATGAAGCAGAAGAGAGTAAGAGCAGATGCAGTGAGCAAATATTCTTTTTTACTTCGTGAAAATAACTCGATTATAGCAAGAAATGCCACAAGAATGATCATTACACAACCACTCAATGCCAATTAAACAAATGATAACAATGCAGTACTGAATGAATTATTCCCATTTATGTGTTTTAAAAAAAGCGAAATTTATGAAGAATTCTGATTAATTACTGCGATGCTAGAAATTATCATAACATAAATACGACAAGTAACTTTATCAGTCGCAGTATCAAAAACTAATCAATCATATTTTAGACACAGTTGCGAATACAAAAGCAAATAATGACAGACTTTTTGCACGACAGTCATAGCTTTTACAAATATAAAGGAGAATAGTTATTTCGAGCAGAATTTACAATTCAAGAATTGTCTATGTGAATTGTTTTTGAGCAACGCTTGCGTCTCACACCTGTTACATGCCTTAGCGTGTAATGACGATTGCAGACTGATATTTCTCAAAATACTTAAAGTCAAGCCCTCATTTTTCTTCACAAATTTTATTCCTATGCACAACTATTATTTGACATATTCATTAAGTTCAGTATGATGTATTATTGACTAACATAAAAAAGAAGTTTTACTGTCTGAGTACTTCAATTTCACCAAAAAATGGAACAAAATAAAGCAATAAAAACATCTGTGCGATGAAAAATAAGGTGGTATCACCTAAAATGAAAACAAGAACTACTGCTGGCAATCCAACTGAATAGCATTCATTTCCCATTTAAGAAGACATATATCGAGACAAACTTATATAATCATAATAGCAGCTCATTTTGCTCTCGAACTATTTAAACCAATACCTGCGATACAAATGATCTTCATACATGAATATCATTTCTATCAACTAAACATGTTCAAAGCAGTCATTGCGTGCGCAATCACACTGATAAAGAATGAGTACAACATAAACGTGCTAAAAGTCCAACTTCCTCGAATTAAAAACGAATGCAGGGAATCCTATGCTGAATGCATTCCATCGCACTACTGAAGTAGTGTTTTCTGCTATGTGGAAATTGGAAAGTAAACTTCGCAGTTAACTAGGCAAGAGTCAATTCTATGAATAATGTAGTAGTGTTGTATTAGAAAACGCAACAGCAATGGTGAATAGCAATTTATTTGCTTTCATTAGTTAGTTACACAGCTTCACTCAATTCACAACACAAAAAAAAATTCAAGAATATAAATTAAAAAAGTCAGTACATTTGAGCACACAACACTAAATGCAAGCTTTAATTATAAATAAAGTGTACAAAACTATTTGAACCTTAAAATGATAATATAACAAACATCGAAATTAATGAGCAAAAACGCAACATACAAAAAGTGATACAAATATTAAGTTTTACAAAAAACAGATACAACGCATGGGGAAAAATGACTGAAATATTAAAGAAGACTAACAATAAATTAAAACACAAAATTCGGCTCTTGTAAAAATTGATACTCATTACTTTCTAATAATTTTTCTCCTTTGCTTGCATTACTTCTTTCTCCATTTCGACTGTTCGGCACTTCTTATTTCGTTTCATAACCATTTGCT